GGAGGAAGAGAGAGATGCGCTGACTGTTATGAATCATTCCATAAGCACTTCAAGTCGTTTTTGTCAGTGGGATTTTGGGCACATTATCCATCTGTCATGCGCTAATATTCACATTAGAAGTTAACATAAAAGTACCAGGAGTTTTGAAAAAAGGGAAATAACATGAAGTCAATGTGAGAATATTCTGCAAATAGGGCACACGAGGTAGCCACAAGTTTACACTACATCTACACAAGCATCTACCTCCTGGGCCTTTCCAGAACACTTAAGCTATCCCTCGTTGTCCGAGTAGGATTGTCTTCCTGGCGGTGGGTCCGTAGGTGACTGTGGAGCCCTATTTTTGATCTGCATCTTCTCCCACAGTGAGGGCATCGGTTTCCAGGTGGAAGGCAGTCCCGGTCGGGGTTGGCTTGATGTTTCTCTCTTTCACCCTCCATTCGTACCTCTTCAAATTCTGCTGGTCATAGCTGACCTCCAGTTGGAGCGCTCAAGGGCCAGGGCTTCCCAGTTCTTAGTGTCTATGCCAGAGTTTTTAAGGCTGACTTTGAGCCCATCTTTAAATCTCTTTTCCTGTCCACCAAGATTCTGTTTTCTGTTCTTGAGTTCTGAGTAGAGCAACTACTTTGGGAGACGGTGGTCAGCCATCCAGACAACATGGCTGGTCCAGCAGAGCTGATGGCGGAGGACCATCGCTTCAATGCTGGTGGTCTTTGCTTCTTCCAACACTCCGATATTTGTCCGCTTGTTTTCCCAAGAGATTTGTAGGATTTTTTGGGGGCAACGCTGATGGAATCGTTCTAGGAGATGATTGTGACATCTCTAGATAGTCCACCCCTCGCAGGCATATAGCAGGGTTGGGAGGACAATAGCTTTATAAACAAGCACCTTGGTATCCCTATGGATGTCCCGGTCCTCAAACACTCTCTGCTTCATTTGGAAAAATGCTGCACTCGCAGAGCTCAGGTGGTGTTGTGTTTCAAGTGTCAATGTTGTCTTTTGTGGAGAGGTGGCTGCCAAGGTAGTGGAAATGGTGAACATTTTCTAATGTTACACCATTAAGCTGTATCTCTGGCATTGGAGAGGGGTTGGCTGGTGACTGCTGGAAGAGCACTTCAGTTTTCTCAATGTTCAATGACAGACCGAGCTTCTTGTATTGTAAGGGATCACGGGTTTAGGGTGCAGGGTCCCTTTTCAAAGAAATCCACAGAGTCCAATTGGTTCATGTAAGACACCATTTAATCAAGCTGATCAACATGAGATGGACAGAAGCACTTCTGTTTGTGCTTTCAAAGACTGCTGCCCCCTCCTCTGTTTCTGCTGACCTCTATACTCAAGTAATAGGTCATGGAAAGTACTCTCTTTCCAGCCCCTCTCTTTTGACCTTTTGATGGAAATTACCTTCTTGTACCTGCAGACTCTGCGCTTAACCACAACCTTTACACTTAACCACAACACAACTACTTCCTATGTAGGCTTGAACTTTGTATGACCTCTACATGTCACATCTTGTTTCTTAAAAACATTTTCTTTCATGTTGCTCCTTTTCTACAGAGAAAGGGTGTATTTCTCTTTTGCTGTTAATTTCATTCAAAGTCCCTTGCTTAGCATTTGCAAATTTCACTCAAAGACCCTTTCAGTATGCTTCTGCAAAGGTGTTTAGAGTGGCTTGTAGGTCTTCTTCTGATGCTGATGGCAGCAGTAAGGGCGGAGCTAGGAATGCCCTAGTAAAAGCTCAAATCTTAATGAGACAATTCAATTACTGGTCAAAAAATAAACTGGGTGAACCCCAGTAGACTTCCTCACCTATGTCTAGAGGATCAAGTCCAGCATGATCAAAAGACATCATGGATAGTGGCTCTAACTAATGAGTTGGCTAAAATTGGCCCGCCTTTGCAATTTCTGAACAATCTAGGACCTAGGGCAAAACAAGTGCTCGTGCAACACACTCAAGATATCTATGCTCAATTGGACCTAGCAAGCATAGGTAGATCTTCTTCCACAAGGTTTTTAGCTTCCCACAAAATGAATACTCATCTAGAACACTGTCTGACTATTCCACTTCCGTTACCCTTAAGAAGAATATATACCATGGCTAGTTTTGAACAACTTGGTATTATGATGCAGACTGCGTGCTACTGTAACATCCCAAGAAGTGAGAGTTTCTGCTTATAAGGAGAACAAACTGTGGAAGTTATCGAACATTTCTTGATTGACTCTCCAGCATATTCTGAACTACAATACAGATAGTTACATCCAATATTATCCAACTTTAGGTCCCCCAAAAGAAATTATATTCTGACATTTCTCTTGCAAGGATAGGAAAGATTCACCATAATCAGCCTTTTTATTCTGAAAGCTATCAAGAAAAGAGCACATTTCCTGAAAAAAGAACCAGGAAAATGAGATTTTTGACTGTAAATAGAAGGTCGTCTGTTGTCCTCTCCTTTTTGCCTTGTCTTTTATTCGTGTTGTATTTTGAGATGGTCATATGACTGGTCAAATAAATAAATTGTATTGTACACCAGGCATGGGAAAACTTGTTAGAGTTTGTGTGCCTAAGCTAACACCGTCAGTCTTTCTCTCAGTGGGAGAAAGGTGTCAGTCTGAGAGGTAGTCCTCAGTGTGAGATAGGCCTTAGTGCAGGCATGGGCAAACTTTGATGCTCCAGGTGTTTTGGACTTCAGCTCCCACAATTTCTAACACTCAGGACCCTTCTATGAGGATATTGTGAACGTGAGATAGCTACAAGTTTATGCAGCATCTACACCAAGCATGAGCAAACTTGTTAAGAGTTAGTGTACCTTTTTCCACTGAGTCTTTCTCTCAGTGGAAAAAAGATCTCAGTCTGTGAGGTAGTCCTCAGTGTGAGGTAGGCCTTAGTCCAGGCATGGGCAAACTTTGGCCCTCCAAGTGTCTTGGACTTCAACTCCTACAATTCCTAACAGCCTCAAGACCGTTCTGTGAGGATATTGTGCAAATACGGCACATGAGGTAGCCAAACGTTCATGCAGCATCTACACCAGGCATGGGGAAAACTTGTTAGAGTTAGTAGGCCAAAGCTAACACCATCAGTCTTTCTCTCAGTGGGAGAAAGGTCTCAGTCTGAGAGGTATGCCTTACAATGTGAGGTAGGCCTAGTCCAGGCATGGGCAAACTTGAGCCCTTCAGGTGTTTTGGACTTCAACTCCTACTTAAGCAACTGAGGGGGGAAAGGAAGAGGCCTGAGGCTATGAGGAATTGTGGGAGCTGGAGTCCAAAACACCTGGAGGGCCAAAATTTGCCCATGCCTGCTGTAAATATACTCTTAGAGGCCACCAGTGGAACAATGTATCGTTCACAGAATTACAGAGCAGAAGCCTCAACTGGAACGTAGAACATTAATTTTTCTGGGCAACGGCTACCAGAAACCTCCCATTGTAATCAATGGCTGGAGGCCATGCCAGCTGGAGGTTTCTGGGCATAGCTACATGGGATTTGACAGCGCCTCGTCCCTATGGTGAAGCCATCTGGACATCCGAATAAATGCGCTGGCTCTGCAAATGCTGGTTGACTTGCTAACTTTGATCGAGTTATTTCCATATGCTCCACCTTCCCTTCCAGGGAGTTCACAAAAGCATTGACATTTCTGAGATTCAATGAGACCATTGTCTTCCTCCTGTACATCAGTCCCAGAATCTCCTTGTTTTATCACATGAATTACGCTATGTAACAAAATTGGAATTTATTGTTGAAGGCTTTTATGGCCAGAATCACTGGATTGCTGTGAGTTTTCTGGGCTGTATGGCCATCTTCCAGGACCATTCTCTCCTGATGTTTTACCCACATCTATGGCAGGCATCCTCAGAGATTGTGAAGTCTGTTGGAAACTAGGCAAGTGAGGTTTACATATCTGTGGAACTTTGGTCAACTTAGGGTACATCTACACTGTAGAATTAATGTGGTCTGACACCACTTTAACTGCCATGGGTCAGTGCTATAGAATCCAGGGAACTGCCATTCTACAAGGTATTTAGCCTTCTCAGCCAAAGGGTGCTGGTGCATTGAGTCACGGCAGCTAAAGTGGTGTCAAACTGCATCAATTCTACAGTTAGATCAGGCATAGGCATAGGTGTTTTGGACTTAAACTCCCTCCGTTAGGAATTGTGGGAATTGAAGTCCAAAACACCTGAAGGACCGAAGTTTGCCTGTGCCTGGTTTAGATGCACCTTTAATCCTTTATAAACGTTAGAAGTTGAGTATCATTTATCCAAAATGCTTTGGAACAGAAGCGTTTGAGATTTCAGACCCCCGCCCCCCAAGATTCTGTAATATCTATATTTGTATATATGTTCATAATGGGATATCTTGGAGATAGGACCCAAGTCTAAACATGAAATGCATTTATGTTTAGGATATACTTTACACATGTTCAATGGTAATTTTTAATAATTTTGAACATATGACAAAGTTTGTGTTCATTGAATCTTCAGAAAGCAAAGGGATCACTGCTTCAACAACGCAAGGAAACAGTTTTGGAGCATCACATAACTCTATGTTTACCACAAATGGTTGCCTGTTATGAAAACTATGCTATTGTCTGTCAAAGCTAGGGCTGTTTAATTGCACCACCATTTTAGGTGTGCATTTAGTGCATGATTAAAATTTATAGTTCATTAATCAATCTATGTATAATCAAATCTCATTTGTGGCGGGCCTGCCCTTTGAAAGAGTCCACCTGCCTTTTATATACGGTCTGTATAATCAGGTATAAAATGATCTCTTCGTTCCCCCAAGAGCTTTAAATACCAATCCCCTTACAAGGAGAAGACTTTCTCTCTCTCTGAGCAATTCTGTAAAAATAACTCAGGAATGGAGGGATTTATCTGTGGAGGAGGCTTTATCAGCTGTCCCCACAAGACCACCAGCCAGCCACAGCTGGGCCCTGTCAATGTCACGGAGAATGGCACAAAGACACACAGATTTATATATACACAGATAGAGATGAATACAAAGGATCATACCTGAACCAGCCCGGAGTAACATTGGGGTGCCGGAGGGTAGACAGGCAGGCTGTAAGGGTGCAAAACTACAGCAGGAGGGGACAACATGGCACATAATAAAAGTCAAGATCCAACCACCCAGTCCCAAAAGTATCCAGAAGCACCTCTGCCCAAGCGGCTTTGGCACCGGCCAAGGGACTGCTGAGTGGCAGATGGGACGGTGCCATTGAGAGACGCCAACAGCTGTTGAGAACACAAGCTCATGTCACAAACGGCTTGGGTTGAAACATCGGCACCGGGATAGAGTCTCACCAGGGGCACATAATTTTACGAGCCACAAAGTAAACACGAGGAACTGACGTAAACATGACTTCTCCCCAGGTTTATGACTGTCTCGCCACTGTTATATTTTATCTGTGGCTCAGAAATGCAAGTAGCATGGATCTCTCTTGATTAAAAAAAATGCGATGAGTGGTTATTATTGATTATTTTATTGGGATTTACTTACAAGGTACAGTTTATAGCACATGTCTCCACCAAGTCAAATGTGCTTAAGGCTAACTGACTTCAATGAAGCCATTAAATATTAGCTTGTATTTCTGCCTCTGAAATCAATGGGATTTACAGCACGATCGGTGGGATTGCTTCCCAAACAAACAGATAGAAAATTGCAACTGTAGAAACTTTGATCGGATCAGGCCCATAATATCATTTCTCATTGTGTTGCCTGCAGCCTTAAAAATGGAAAGGGGGCCAAGATACACCATTTCAGCTTTTGTAGATTTGATTATTCACAGTTTTAGTTAAAATGTTCTCTAGCAAAATTTGACTATAGATTCACCTCGAAGGACCAGAGATTCCAGCAGGAATCGAGAATCTAGAATTCTAGAAATATCATATGAATCAAATCTGTGAATAATCAAATCTGCAGAAATCAAACCAGCAAATGAGGAGGGCCAATTGTATATCTTGTCACACTTTCAATTTTTAATGCTGTATGGGGATCTTCTGACCCTAAACTCAGTAAAATATGGTGTGTTGACTGTACATCTTTTACAAAGAAATAAAATCTTAGCAATGCAAATACAGAGAGATTGCCACTAACAAAGGGGCAGCATCTTCCATGATTCCTGAAATCAGCAGATTAATATAGTGGGCACAGGATAGACTGCATGGTACACACCCAGCATTATTTCCCCCAGGCACTTCTCTTGCTTTGCCTAATAGTAGGTCCATGTGTGGATCCAGAGTAGCATCATCTTCCATTAGTAAACATATTCACACCCATATCCACTTTCCCTTTGCTTCTCGCAACTTTTTTCCCTTACCACAAAAAAAAATCCATTAAAAGAGGAAAGAGAGAACCATACACATTACTTTTCAGCTGGTAATGCGATGGGCTGTCCATCTGGAAGCACCACTGGCACCGCTTCAATTTTTACTTGAAATTAGCTTCAAGCTGTGCGCTTCATCTCCCAAGCAGGATATAGCCACAAAAGCAAGATTCCAGTAATAGGTAGAATTAGGTCTGTTTGAAAAAAAGAGCCAGAGACATTTGCACTTCCTTGGTGAAGGGCAAATTAAACATAAGTTGCCCCATGAATAACAGTGACCAATATAGGTACTCTATGGGGTCACTACCTGAAATATAATGTCTATAGGACTCATGCACCTGCTCATTAGTATGGCTGTTTGCCCATAAAAAGGAAAAGTGTTTCTAGACCAGAATGTGCACCTTCTAATTTGAATGTAGAGAAGTACATTTAGCAATAATGAATACAGTTTAATTAGACATACAGTCAGGTCTCCATACTTGTTGGAGTTATGGTCACAGGATTGCAAATTTAGAAAAAACATGGAATTTAAACATTTTCTTTATTCTGGGAGAATGCTTATTTGGGAATCTCTAGGTCCTTCAGCAAAAGGACCTGTGGCGCAGCTGGCTGTCAGCTGCATTAAGATCATTCTGACCAAAAAGGTCATGAGTTCGAAGCCAGCATGGGTTGGAGTGGGTTTCCAACCAATTGTGTGTAGCCTGTTGTCAACCTTTGCAACCCAAAAGACAGTTGCATCTGTCAAGTAGGAAAATAAGGTACCACCTTAAAAGTGTGGGGAGGCTAAATTAACTGATTTATGAGGCCATAAAGAAGACTCCAGCAAAGCATTCCAGCGGGGAAGCATGCGGGAATGCGAAAGTGCTTCATCAGCGTCGCAGATGGACGATTAAAGCGACAGCTTCCCTGGTGGCCAGAAAAAGTTAAATAGCCTCTGTGTATGTCTGTATATGTTGCTGTTAAAAATTGGCATTGAATGTTTGCCATATATGTGTACACTGTAATCCGCCCAGATTCCCCTGCGGGGTGAGAAGGGCGGAATATAAAAGCTGTAAATAAATAAATAAATAAACTGTATTGACGATTTTGGTGGAAGCTGACCATAGAATCACACAAGATATCCTAGAGATTCCCTGTGTAGAATCACAGTCGCTGTGTAGAATCGTTCAGTCGCTTCTGACTCTTTGTGACCTCATGGACCAGCCCACACCAGAGCTCCCTGTCGGCCGTCACCACTCCTAGCTCCTTCAGAGTCAAGCCAGTCACTTCAAGGATACCATCCATTTTGCCCTTGGTCGGCCCCTCTTCCTTTTTCCTTCCATTTTCCCCAGCATAATTGTCTTCTCTAAGCTTTCCTGTCTTCTCATTATGTGGCCAAAGTACTTCACCTTTACCTCTAATAACCTTCCCTCCAATGAGCAGTCATGTTTTATTTCTTGAAGTATGAACTGGTTGGATCTTCTTGCAGTCCAAGGCATTCTCAAAATTTTCCTCCAACACCACACTTCAAAAACATGTATCTTCCTTCGCTCAGCCTTCCTTATGTTCCAGCTCTCACATCTATAGGTTACTACAGGGAATACCATTGCTTTAATTATGCGGATCTTGGTTGCCAGTGTGATGTCTCTACTCTTTACTATTTTATCGAGATTTGTCATTGCTCTCCTCCCAAGAAGTAAACGTCTTCTGATTTCCTGGCTGCAGTCTGCGTCTGCAATAATCTTTGCACCTAGAAATACAGTCTGTCACTGCCCACACATTTTCTCCCTCTATTTGCCAGTTATCGGTCAGTCTGGTTGCCAGAATCTTGGTTTTTTTGTTGTTGTTTAACTTCAACCCAGCTTTTGCACTTTCTTCTTTCACCTTGATTAGAACTCCTCGGCTCCTCCTCGCTTTTGGCCATCAGTGGTATCATCGGCATATCTAAGGTTGTTAATGTTTCTTCCAGCAAGCGGACTCAGGGTGGCTCAAACAAAAACAAGATATGATGGCACATATATATACATAAAATAAAAACCAAACATATACATTAAAACCAAATAATTAAAAAATATATCAATCTTAAAAACAATTACTTAAAACTACACAATCCAAAGGCATATTTCAGCAGCCATTCTGGTCATAAATGGCACTGTTCCATAATCACTTATTGCACTGAGAGCCATTGTTCAAAGATTTGGTCCCACATCCATGTCTTCACTTTCTTTCTGAAGGTCTGGAGGGAGGGAGCTGAGCTGATTTCCTTGGAGAGAGAGTTCCATAGCTGAGGGGTCACCACTGAAAAGGCCCTATCTCTCATCCCCATCAGTCGCTCTTGTGAAGGGGAGTGGGATTGAGAGCAGGGCCTCTCCGAACAATCTTAATCTCCAAGATGGTTCATAGAGGGAGATATGTTTGAACAGGTAAGCTGGAATGGAACTGTTTAGGGCTTTGTAGGCTAAAGCCCATAATAGTCTACAACTGTTATGGATGGGTTAATGCATTTCTTTAAGCTTGACACCAGCCACATGAGACATTTGTTCTCGTAAGTGTTGTTCATAGGGCTACCAAACAAGTCAAGCTTGAGCTGCCAGCTTTCGACCACAAACATTGCCTTTCTTAATCTTTTTACCCAGGAGCAACCCTTGAAAACCAGTATTAGGTTTCATAGAACCAGTGCATAATAATTATTATATCGACAGCTCAAGGAAACCTTTATTTTTATTTCAGTCATGATCTCTAGAATCTAGATGAACCCCAGCAACCTTTTGCAGAATACTAGAGTTCCAGGAGATCTTAAACGGAAGTACAGAAGAAAAGGGCTGAACTAAAAACATTTAGTACAGATGTAGATGGACTGTAAGAGCCTTTCATGCAATTTTGATAGCAAAAAATTCCATATGAAAAGGAGTAAAAGGAAGCTGATTGGATTCTTCACCATACATGTAGAGCCTTGTCTTCCATATACATATATAACGGTGCCTTGGTATTCACTGGGGTTTGAGTTCAGGACCACCCGTGGATGCTAACATTTGTGGAAGCTCAAGTTCCACTATATACAATAGTGTAGTAAAATGGTTCCCCTTTTATAAAATGCCAAAATCAAGATTTGCTTTTTTGGGTTTGTATGTGTGAATAGTTTCAAGCTGTGGGTGATTGAATCTATGGATACATAACTGTACCTACACTTATCCTTACAGATCTGCCACTGAAATTCTTCTAGTAAGTTGGTGGGCTTTTTTGCTAGCACATTTCAGGCTTCTCTTCTGACACTGGTGGCAACATCATGGCCTTCCAAATGCTCTGCAACTGCAAATCCCAGCAGCTCTAGCCAGCATAGCCAATGGTAAAAAAAATGCTGGGAACTGCTCCCTTTAAAAGACCCCAGTCTTTAACAAATCCTTCAAGATTCCTGTCTGTTTGAATTTTTCCAGCCCTATACAGAATTGTCAAATCTCAGGGGCTAGAGTTGAGTTTCCAATGTTCATGGGTCATCTTCAGGCTGGACATGAGGATACATTTTTTTTTTGTTTTGGTGAGTTAAGTTGCAGATCAGAGAAAGAGGTTATGATATAATTTTCAAGGCTTTATTTGTTGCTTCAACTTTCAAAGTCTCTTGAAGATAGTGTCTATGTATTTACTTCATTCGTGTCTATATATTTACTTCATTAGCTTCCTTCTTCCCTTCTAATCCATTGTACACTCCATCGAGCTTCTACCTAGGAATAATTAGGCTAGATTAAATGTTCCTTATGCCATCTCTCTAAATCAATAAAAAGAAATATAATCCTTTCATTTCACCTCAATCTGGGAACAGCCCCTTCAGCTAAGATTTCTATTTTAAT